GCCCTGTGGCTCTGTGTGTGACAGGGGGCGGGGCCACAACCTCCCTATCTGCCCTGCTCTGTGCCTGATAGGGGGGAGCTCCCCAATCCCCTGATTGCCCTGCGGCTCTGTGTTTGACAGGGTGCAGCACACCAATCCCCTGATCGGCCCTGCTCTGTGTGTGACAGGGTGCGGCGCCCCAACCACCCCTCCCCACGGGCCCTGCTCTGTGCCTGATAGGGGGGAGCTCCCCAATCTCCTGATTGCCCTGCGGCTCTGTGTTTGACAGGGTGCAGCACACCAATCCCCTGATCGGCCCTGCTCTGTGTGTGACAGGGGGTGGCGCCGCAACCTCCCCATCGACCCTGCCTTGAGTGTGACAGGGGGCGGTGCCCCAACCCCCCAATCGGCCCTACCCTGAGCGTGACTGAGGGTGGCATTGCAACCTCCCGATCCGCCCTGCTCTGTGCATGACAGGGGCGGCGCCCCAACTCCCCAATCGGCCCTGCTCTGAGCCTGACCAGGGGCTGCACTTAGGGATTGGGCCTGCCCTCTGCCACCAGGGAGCAGGCCTAAGCCAGCAGGTCGTTATCACCCGAGGGGTCCCAGACTGCGAGAGGGCACAGGCAGGGCTGGGGGACCCCCCTCCCCCCGCCCCCCGAGTGCACAAATTTTTGTGCACCGGGCCTCTAGTATATATATAAAAGCCTAAGTGACTGAACAACCGGTTGCTATGACACACACTGACCACCAGGAGGCAGATGCAGGAGCTGCCCCCCCCGGTGGTCAGTGTGCTCCCACAGCCAACCTCCCGTGGTCCCTCCCCCTGGCTGGTCAACCACCCACAGTCCCTCCCCTGGGGCCAGCTGGCCCCAATGACCCCGATAAGGGCCTCCGGCCAACCTCTTGTGGTCCCTTCCCCACCCCTGCCGGCCAACCTCCCGCAGCCCCAATCGGCCCCTATCGCAGGCCAGGCTGAGGGACCCCACCCGTGCATAAATCGTGCACTGGGCCTCTAGTACAATCATAATGAATTCTGTTTCCCAGGAAAATTCCCTCCTTATAGTGATGCTTCAATTATCATGATCAGTTTCATCTTCATTAACACGTTAAGTGCCATGTCAGTCACTGGTGACTGAAATGGAAAGGAAGACAAAACAGGCTTGGCGCTTAATGTGTTAAAGAGAACAGTTTCCACCATATTACAAATTAGTAAGTTAATGATTAATTTATCAATTGAAAATAGTTTCCACAATTGGACCTCTTAAGTTTACCTTATTATCTGGAGTCCCTAGAAGTCTTATTTTCCCTTTGGACATGAATTCAGGAACAATTCAATATACCTATGCTCTGAGAATGAAAAAAAAAGATTCATTTCAAAAAGCTGAAAAGGCAGAAATAATATTATTTAAGAGCCTTTTTTCTCATAATATGAGCCTTTTTTCTCATAGTTCAGACAGAAACTCAAACCCTTTGTCCATTGGCTTTCTTAAACTAAAATATAAAACAAAATTAAATCCTAACTAACTTTGGATAGGAATATGCAGGATCATTAGCAGATAAATGCTTTTCATCATTACAATATAATGTCTCATCCTTTTTCACATTTACTTTAGTGGCAATGACAGAATACAATTTTCACAAGGAAATATTCTAGGAAAATTCCAAAACAGAAAAAGGCATTTACTGTAAGCCAAGGCATGTATGAAAATGACCATGAAAACCACGGCAGCACTTACGAACGTGGGACCGATCCTTGAGCATAGCTGCAACAGCATCCTCATGGGTATCGAAGTGCACATCAGCTTCTCCAGTGGCCTTCCCACTGGAACTGTATTCCATGGTGATTCTAACAGGCTTCAGTGGAGCAAAAAACTAAACAACAAACAAATGAAGCCAAAAGGAACATAATGGTTCTAGGTCCAATTTCTAGAAGTCTAGTAGTTCTGCACTTTCCTTTCAGACTTTGATTCATACACTTTAATTTTTTTTTTTTTTTTTTAGGAAATATCTTCTACCATCTCTTCTGGCTTTTCTGATCTTTTTAGAACTCAAAGTTCATTTCAAATATCTGGTCATAGACAACTTATACTATAAATACAATACTATGCAACAAATGGTTCTTGACATGTTTTTATACCAACAAAGACCACTTTTATTATTCTTCCCACAAACGTCCTTCCACTTCTAAGGACTATCTGTCATCTATCACATATACTTTATTTCTTAGTAATTCAATTTTACCATTTTTTCATCAGGCATGTACCTGATAACCATTCTTATCAACACTACATAACAGAGCTACCACCCTGAATGGTTGTCATTCCAAACCAAAGCAACAAAATTTAATGCCTTAATGAGACTGCAACCTTCATTTAGGTGACAATTTGATACCTATTAGGCTTCTTGAAATAATAAAGACAACTCTAAGGCTCACTAACTGAAAACTCTAGGTTTGAATCTATCTTAAGTTTATGTCCTCAAGTTCATGAAGTCAGTAAGTACTTTGTTGTTTTAGTTTTCCATTTCATACAGTACCTATCATGAAATAAAAATATTCTTAAAATTATTTTTCTCAAAAAATTAGGGCTACATGGCTACATGGTCTAACGAAAGCTCCAAGCACTTAGGAGCACTGAATTCTTGTCTAGGACCTAACTGCTCTGTGGCAAGTTCCCCTGGGTCTCAGCTCACTAAACTCAAAACTGAAGAGGTTGAACCAATTTAGAGAAAATCCACTTTCTTTGAATACTAAACCCACATCATACTATTGTGTATTTAAAAAATCCTCTTATCCACTATACTTGTCACCTTAAAATGCAAGAAAACCCATACTTCTCAGGTTAAGAGAATAAAACAAGCCTCCCCAACCATGGAGAGGTAAATAGTACTGTCCAAAGATACTCCAGAAATACTGTATCTTCTTCTCTACCTTCCTGAAATTAATAGAAGCTCAATTTTAAAACTTTTATTCTAACCCACTGAGATTAGATATCTTACTGCCACATACGTTTATAATGTCTTGGGCATTGGCTTGGAAAGGCAATCCTCTCATATGAACAAAGTGTAGTGAAGATGTAGTTCCAAAATCACCAGGCTCCGGAAGCTTTTCTGATATCTCCTTAGGCAATTCTGAAAAGTGGAACAAAACACCGTCAAGAGCATAAAAACTTCAAGAGTTATTAACAAATTACAATTAGGTATGACATTTATGTCAAAATCCTTAATGCCTCTTTTTTTTTTAATATATTTTATTGATTTTTTACAGAGAAGAAGGGAGAGGGATAGAGAGTCAGAAACATCGATGAGAGAGAAGCATCGATCAGCTGCCTCCTGCACACCCCCCACCAGGGATGTGCCTGCAACTAAGGTACATGCCCTTGACCAGAATCGAACCTGGGACCCTTCAGTCCCCAGGCCGACGCTCTATCCAGTGAGCCAAACCGGTCAGGGCCCTTAATGCCTCTTCAACCAGTAGGGAAGAAGGACTTGAATTTTAAAAGCCAAAATGATCTGAAATTTCTGCCATCTTACAAATAACACCTGAACACCCATAAGAATTTAGTGGCTAGAGCAACACTTTTTGGGACCCTTTTCACATGCCGAGAGCTCTACTCTTGCTGTAATAAACTTCGCTTCGCTTAAAAATTTAGCGCCTCAACCCATTACCAGATTCCAAAAGAACATCCTATATAATAAAAGCCTAATATGCTAAGTGTCCAGTAGACAGTTCAAACCAATCAAAATGTAATATGCTAATGATATGCTAAGGCTGCTCAACTGCTCGCTGTGACATGCACTGACCACCAGGGGGCAGATGCTCCGACCAGTAGGTTAGCTTGCTGCTGGGGTCTGGCCGATTGGGACTGAAAGAGATGGGCTGGACATGCCCTAGAGCCCTCCTGCGGTCCCTCCCCGGCTGGCCAACCCCCCGCGTCCCTCCCAGGCCCCAAATGTGCACCGGTGGGGTCCCTCGGCCTGGCCTGCACCCTCTCACAACCCAGGACACCTCGGGGGATATTGGAGAGACGGTTTCAGCCCGACCCCGCAGGCCAGGCCGAGGGATCCCATCAGTGCACGAATTCATGCACCAGGCCTCTAGACTTTCTATAACAAGAGAGAGTAGGAAACATGATTATTAATGAAAAAATCGAGGAAAGAGTAATTTTCTGAGTTATAAGCATTAAAGAAATAAATAAATAAATATGATAACAGGATAATCCCAGGGCACCAGTTTAAAAAGGATTTAGCAAACTTCAAAGATTCCAAATGTTGCTTTGGGTTAGGAATAAAAAGAATAATTAAATACAGAGGCAAACAAAACTCCTTACTTCAGTCAACATTCCTGCTTTCTACCCATATCTTTTCCCACCTTAGTTTAAATATTGACATTTACTTCCTGGTTATATTTGTGCTGCCAGCTTATCTGATGTAGAATCTACAAAAGTTATTAAATTTTAAAAACTTATGAAATAATTAAGCCTTTCTGCATATATTCAAAGTACATACTACACTCAAAGATATATTAAATCTTTAATTCAATTCCTTTCTCCAAGAGTCTTACAATTTCATACAAATGGTAATATATATATATATCCTATCTAATAAAAGAGAAACATGGTAATTAGCATTCGACCGCTACCCTTCCCATTGGCTAATCAGGGCGATATGCAAATTAACTGCCAGCCAAGATGGCGGCCGGCAGCCAGGCAGCT